GTCGTTAGGCCCCGCAGCTGCCCAGCCTGGCTGGAATGAGTGACTTTGGCAGAATTGGGTGGGAGAAGGTGCTCTGCTAGATATCAAGATCCTAAACCATTTAGGGCTTTATATGTAATCGTAAGAACTTTGAAATCAATGCGGAAACCAATAGGCAGCCAATGCAAGGTGGCCACTTTGGGGGAAATATGTTGGTACCTTTTCACCCTTATAATAAGTCTGGCTGCCACATTTTGTACCATTGGAAGTTTCTGCATCAGTCTCAAAGGCAGCCCCATGTAGAGCGCATTACAGTAGTCTACTCTTGAGACTATAAGTGCATGGACCAAAATGGTGAGCGCCCCCACATCAAGATAGGGACACAGCTGGGCAATCCGCCGAAGGTGGGAATGTGCGGAACAGACCACTGATGACACCTGGGTCTCCATGGTAAGCTCCGGGTCCAGATGTACACCCAAACTGCGAACCTCACTCTTAGTGGTAAGAGTCACCCACCCCCCAAAAAAGGAAAGGGAGTTTCCCAGACCACTGATGTCTGGGACACCACCTGAAGGACCTCCATCTTGCCCAGATTCAGCCTCAGTCTGAATTCAACCTGCATCCATTGCTGAACTGCCCCCAGGCAGCACTCAAGGGACGAAACAGCATCCACTGTTGTTGGAAAAAAGGAGATGTAGAGCTGAGTATCATCAGTGTACTGATGACATGAAGCCCCACATCCCCTGATGATTCGTCCTAGCAGCCTCATATATATGTTAAACAGCATTGGAGAGATAATCAAGCCCTGCAGGACCCCACAACTGAGGCTCCACGGGGCCGAGAAACTCTCTCCAATCTGCACTCTCTGGGGATGGTCCTCCAAGAAGGAACGGAGCCAGGCCACCAATTCCCAACTTGGAGAGCCTCCCTAGGAAATACTGTGGTCGATGGTATCAAAGGCGGCTGAGATATCGAGGAGGACCAGCAGAGACCCCTGTCGGCCCCCCTCAGTAGGTCATCAAACAGAGCGACCAATGCTGTTTCTGTGCCGTGGCGCGGCCTGAAGCCCAACTGGATCCAGGCATTGGTTTCATCCAGAAGAGCCTGCAGCTGATTGGCCACCACCCTCTCAACTATCTTGATGAGGAAATAAACATTGGCAATGGGCCTATAATTACCAATATCGTCCACCACCAAACTCTGTTTCTTCCTAATGGGCCTAATGAGTGTCTCCTTGAGGGCAAGGGGAACCTTGCCTTCCTGGAGAGACCCATTAATTATTGCCATAGCCCATTGAGATGTCATAGGCCTGGCTGCTTTGATTAGCCAGGCCGGGCAAGGGTCAAGGGTGGAGGTGGTGGCACGACAACGGTCAAGCACTCTGTCCACCATGTCTGACATCACAAGCTAAAAGTGGTTAAGTCTCATCAGGCAAGATGGAGCACTGGACGTCTCAGCTTGATCCACTGTTTATGGCATGTCATGTTATGGCATATCATGACAGCCTGTCTCAACTATAAATGAGCTTTTGTTAAGATTTCTTCAGATCCTTATTATTCTTTTTTCCCTTTCTTTTTCTGCCTAAAAGGCATCCAGGGTCTTATAATCACAGTAACCAAGAAGAATAGCAATGGTGATGCTAATATGACCAATACATTTAATATAATCAATTGCATTCTGTAATACATGTGCATGCTATATTTAGTCAGTTCTTCAAAGCAGTTCAATATCTTAAGATTATTGCATGAATATTTTACACACACTGGCCAAAATGCTGTCAGTTACACATACCAGTGTAATTCAGTAGGCATAAATCTTAGTAGTAAATTGCCAGCAATTAAGTTAGCAGTGGCAATTAAAAAGTTAGTGTAGGCATTTGATGTAATGCACTGAATAGTGTACCTTGGCAGACAAGAGCAAATACCTGTACTAACTTCCCACTTTGTAGCAATTCACTGTTGAGTTGAAGATCTTATTTGGCAATAAAACATAATAGGATTTATGGCAGCAGTTTTAATGTATATATGTTATGGACCCTAATTGCACAATTGCTAAAAGAATAAGCTTGCAAGTCTGTTGCTTTTATTCCGTGTATGCTGCAAAACTTCCACAATGTGAAAAAAGTGTGTTTGAGCTTCAGATGTTGTCATTCTAGTGACACAGCACAATAGTATGCTATTTACTCATGAAAACCATAACAGGTAAAGTATCCCAAAGTGATAGAACTGCTAGTCTTTGTACTCATACAAAATGCACAACAAACTTCGGGTTATTCTAGCGAGTAGCAGGACATGACATAGTATGTTAGTTTAATTGGCCACCTGCCATTTTTAACATCACATAGAGAGGTCAGGCCCAGGAGTTCTTACAAAGTGTACCTTGTAAGTCCTGCCTTGTCTTTTATGCTTTTTTCGGTGCTCCACAGGTACCACTGTGGAGACCATCATAGCATTTTTGCTGCGCTATTTTTTTCCTCAAAAAAATACTGCAGAGAGAACATGATGAGGCAACTCAAGTAAACTGGCCCCTAATTTTTGGAAAGCAAGCCATATTTTTCTTCTTTTACTAACTTCAGTGTAGAATTGGCTTTCTTTTTTCTACTCTAAGTGAGGGTCCAGTAAATTTTTTACACTGAACGCACTGTGTGAGGGCCTCTCTCTTACAGTAGTAGTGGTTAGCACTTCTGTAGTTCTCCTAACTCTGCAAGCTAGGAAGAATTTTTTTAAAAAGGAGTATCAAACTGATGAAAAATAGATAAAATTACACTGGAGCAATCATGCAATTATGCACAGAGAACACTGAATGCAAATCACTTTTCTGAAAGTGACATCAAGCCCAGCCAATGGAGTTTGCACAGTTTTTGAGTACAAGACTATGTACTCACAAGACGAAGTACAGGAGAATGAAGTGGTGTGAGTGTGGAGGAGTTCTCTATCAATCGATTGCTATTGATGTATCACTATCTAGTGGGTTTAGACTCACTGCAACTTATAATCTCGGCAGGGGTTGAGGGTCAATTAAGATAGGCTGGCCAGGAGACTAAATGATCCTAATTGTTTCCTAATTATTTTCGGAGAGTTTTCTGTTGCCTGGGCGGACAATTCTGTCAGATAGACCTCTGGAATGGGAAAATGGCTAAGGCAGTGGAATGGAACTAAATTAGCTCCTTGGTTTATCAAGGAACTGGCAATAATGAAACAAGTGGAGTGGATGCAAGAGCAATGATGGAGGAAAACTGGGACAGAATCCAAACAAAGACAGGCTAAAAATGGTTGGAAGATCTATTCCATGGCAATGCTAGAGCTGGAAAAATATATTTTTCTCTGCCAGCATTGCATCTGCTCAGAGTTGCCCACTGGAGTTGTTTTAAGTGGTCAAAGGTCTAATTAGGCATTTACCTACAAGAGGAAACCTTCAGAGACACACTCCTCCTGTGAACAATTAGTACAGCACTTTGCAGATAAATCACTTGAATCCATTTTAACTTGAATGCTGTTATTGAAGCAGTTCCATTTGATGTAACTGGGTTTTTCCTCATCCAGTTATAATGTATATGATTCAAATTGTACAGCCTGAAGCTACAGACCAGCTTCTTGGAGAGGTCAAAGCCACCATTTCCATGCTGGACCCTTCCCATCCTGACTCATTAAAACAACCAGAGAAGGTCTTATGGACTGGGTAAAGAATGCCTCTCTTCAAGAAGGCAGAATTCCAATCTGCCTAAAAGAGGCTGCTGTAAAAGCATTTATTGAAGTATTTCTTGAAACCCACTATATTAGAAAACTATTAGCCAGTCTCTAATATCCCACTTTGGGGCAAGGGGCTTTAGCGGGCAGAAGCCTTTTGGCTCCAGAGATAGCTTGAGAAACAGATCTCAATCCATTTCAGTCTGGCTTCAGGCCTGGCTCTGGGACACAAACAGCTTTGGTGGTCTTCATGAATGACCTACACCAGGAATAGAATGAAGGAGATGTGTCTCTGTCAGTTCTGCTGGGTCTCTCAGCAGCTTGTGATACTGTCAACCCTGGTATTGCCACTCTGAATCCCAATTCTGGCAGGAAGGCAGCATATGAATGAATGAATGAATGAATGAATGAATGAATGAATGAATGAATGAATGAATGAATGTAAAGTCTGTATGTGCTGATTCATATGTATAGATGTAAACTGAGAAGTAGTTAATGTAATCAAAATAGAAACACATTGTTTTCCACCATAGTGGGGAAGGCTGTGATTAGGTGACCTATGAGTCTACTGTTCTGGTATGAACTACTGTTGGGTTATTCTAGGACCTATCCTCTTTCTTCCCACAGCTGCTGATCCTTAAGCTAGACTCGAACTGGACAGTTCCTCATTTAGCTAATATCTTCAGAGGACTGTCCTTTATAAAGGTACACAGAGTCTTTATCAGTATAAGGTCCTCAGACTAAAGAGTAGCTGCACTTATCAGCTACTTATCAGATTTATTGTGTAATATGCCAGATTACTGATCCCTGTGTCATCTGACTGACTGCATTGGTGGTGTTCAGAAGCAGTGCAGAGCTGAATTAAACTACCTCCAAATATACAATACAATACAGTTTGGGGACAGTTTTTTGGGATCTTTTACTGTCGAAGCAAGAAGTACCAGTTTTATTGCCACATGACACCTTTCACTTCCAAGACACGCAGCTATACCTCCAGAAATTTTCTTCCTCCAGTATCAATTCTTTGTCATTTGTGACATCAACATCAGGGCTACAATGAAGATCACTATACTGAAATGTAACTGACCAGCACGATAAAGAGCTTGCAGTTTTTAAAGATTACTAGGCTTTTAACAAAATAGCCACAAAGTTTACACAAACACTGTAATTACCTTGCCAACAAGCACCGATTTGTGACATCAACATCAGGGTTACAATGAAGATAACTATACTGAAATGTAACTGACCAGCATGATAGAGAAGAGCTTGCAGTTTGTAAAAATTACTAGGCTTTTAACAAAATGGCCACAAAGTTTACACAAACACTGTAATTACCTTGCCAACAAGCACCAACGGTTAGTTGCATTGCTATGTGTGATGGATGAATAGGCCAATCATTAGTTACAAGGTAAGGTTCATATGTTGTCCCATCCATATACAAGGTAACTACTGGGAATTCAACGTTGACGACATAGTAGTGCCATTCTTTATCACAAATCTAAATAGGAAAAGAAAAGGAGAGAAAATAGACTTAGTACCTGTGCTATCAAAAATGATGGACAATGATTGAATTGAAGACTAGCTGTCCTGCCACCTTTTAAAGAATATATTTTAACGTAAGAAGTTGTGCTCTACTTTAAGATTCCTCTCAACATCAAACTTCTCCAGGCAACTCACAAAAGAATTCTATGACTAAAACTTGAATATTTATAAAATGCAGTTATTGTG